TTCAAAAACCACAAAGTCCCGTCACAGACGTTGGTGAAGCACGAGTAAGTTAATTAATTATAATCAGGAAAGTAGTCCGTCATAAATTGACCTTAGGTCATCACCATGAAGTAACCAATCACGGACCTGGAATTCGATCTCACACATACGTTTGGTGCCAGTTATCTCAAATAGGTTTCTCACCAACAGGTATGTACGAAAACTAGATCATTCTGTGACATGTGACTCAATTATACCCAAGGGTAAAGGTCATTCAGGTAAAATAATTATTTTTGTCTGACTGTTGTTTTTTATACAAGCCATCAATCAAAATTAGACAATAACAGCAAACATCAAGATTGTAATGTAAAGGAAGTTGGCATATTTTTTATATAGTCTAAGCTGCAAGTGATAAATATGTCTGCGATATTGTAACTAAATTATTTTAGAGTGGGTGAGTGAATTGTTTTTTAGCGGAATTTCAGGTACACCTCGGCGTGGCATGAAAGAACTAAGCAATGGAGGTCGTTGAACCCTCCTAGCACAGTAGGGGGCTGGGGCGGTCAGATAGCCTAATGGTTAAAGCGTTTGCTCGTAAACGCCGAAGAGCCGGGTTCGATTTCCGACATGGGTACAATGTGTGAAGCCCATTTCTGGTGTCACCCCGCCGTGATATTGCTGGAATATTGCTAAAAGCCGCGTAAAACCGTACTCACTCACTTACTTAATCCTAACAGTGATAATACCCACGATCAAATGAATCCAGCACGCTAAAGGGATAAACTCGACGCAGCGTATTTCAATCATTAAGATTAAAAGAAAATGTCGATTGTTTAATAGTTATTTCAAAATATAACTTACGTCTGATGTTTTGTGGAGGGGTTTTCGGAATGGATTACATTCATGGAGTCTTTGTATGTTGATTTCTGTGTGTGAGAGCGGGTGTTCACATGCGTATGTTTGTGGAACGTCGTCGTAGGTTGAAGCATACCCAGATCAGTTGATATACACATGTAATACGATGAGGCAGTTTATCAAGAGTGGTTGATCCAACCACACGTCATAGAATCTGAGCTGTTCAGTGTGTCGGTATGCAAGCTTGCCTTAAAATTATTATTGACGAGAAGGTAATGTACATTCATAGCTTCTGAACGTTGTCCATGAGTAGAACATTACGATGCCAAAGACGATTCGGGTCAAACGAAATACAGGAACGTCCATATTTTTATTGTTTTAAATATATTTAAGTGCCTTTGAAATCGTAAGCGTTTATGTTTCGTAACATTTGCCTTGCCATCTGTTTTTCAAAACGTACAATAACATTTGATTTGTTCATCATTTCCATAGATATGTGGTAAAAATATCATTTTGAATCGTTATTTTGGCAATATATCAAGACTTTGGATCTTAGACATTGAATACTTGTATTGTCATGTAATAACTCTCTTAATGGCCAAATGAATTCATTCTTGTACAGCAATGCGATCAGGTTTATGGTTTGAAGAAAAATTATTTATCAAAGAAAACTTTGGAAGTAAACGTAACAACAGAGAAGCCCTCATCTCTCTCAAGTGTTCTTATCAGGCAGATAGACACTTGTACCCCAGGACATACAGTTTACTCGTTGTTATCAAGTACGTTATAAAGTTGGCAAATATGCAAAATCCATTTGCGTGATTAAGGCAAGATGATTTCGTAGTTGATGTTTGAATGCCAGATGAAAGCAACCTGTTCCCAAGTACAGGGATGAGCTGTTTAACGGAAGGATGAGAAAGTGGCTAGAACAATTTAAAGCGTAAAACATGGTAAAGCGAGGCCATTGTTGACTGGTCACACTGACCATATGATTTGATTTCTGTCCGATAGTGGTTGATAACAATGAGGCAACAGGTATTCTATGTACCATTTCACTCTTTGCTTTTATTTGTGTAAGCAATTAAGTTTGAATGTCAGGGAAAAGGGAATGCGGGTGGTCCAGTCGCCCGAGGCACCACCCTTCGCTGTCCATAGTTGCTATCATTTGCTGCAAGATCCGCTAATCCTGGGTTCGAATCCAAGATTCAATTGATTATGAACAATGGTCTGGCACCACAAGAGCCGTTTTCGAAGGGGAAAGCATTGAAAACGTAACCCATGGTAAAGGGATCATGGATACTGAATTTGCATGAATACATGTCCGTTGACTACCGTACCAATACCATGCGCATGATGCGTTCCCCTCTGTGCAAGCCCCTCTGTCTTGTGCTTTATAAAAACCAAATATCATATTCATTATTATCATTTGAAAATTCTCTTCGTCGTTTTATTATCATTGCTGATAGTGTTGGCAATAGTATTGTTACTTTGACCGTAATATATTACAAATAAACGTTATTTGCTTTTTATCTTTATCACCGTGTCCATGTAATGTGCTCATACTTTCCCTCATGTACGTATAACTGCCTGTAAAGCCAGCTGACTTTGTAGATATGTGGATTCAAGTGTTTCCGGAATTTTACATAAGATGCATACAACCCTACAAGCATTTCTAGTGCCGTGTGTTTAGCTACATGTGCATCACTGCCAAGGTCAGCGTTCTTGGCCTCGTAATTAAGATAAAAGGCATCCTTCGCAAATAACTGACTTGTTTTGAATATAATATCTATTTTAAGAAGGTTCTTAACTACAAGTATTAAATATTATTTTCTTCTTGTTATTAACTGCACAGTCAAACTTCTTGTGCAGTCTTGTTCATTGTTGGTTCTCTTGACGAACGTTTTATATCTGCATCAAAGTAATGTTTTGTACTGGTAGCACAGTAGAAGAAGAAGGTTTTGTAGTCAGAAGAGTTAAAGCGTGGCATACTGAAATGTCATATTAAAATGAATGACGATTTTATGACTCCATGACGAGACAAATACTGGAGTAAAGATGGCTTCACGGCTGCATGGTATGGCATAAAGTAGTCTTGCGAAATAAAGTACAGACAGCTTTACAACTTTATGCAAAGTTAAGTTGACGTGCAGTTTAGCTAACCTCGCGAATGTTACACAACGCACAAACTGGTTTAGCATTACAGTAGATTCACGATTATTTTCAGGGCACGTGTGGTCCAGTCGTCTGAGACGCAGCAATTCGTTGTGCAGAGTTGCTTACCTTGGATACGCCAGAAACATATGATAGGGGGTTCGAATCTCTGAATATATTCCTAGGTTTGTCAGCACCATACACGTGCTCGTGGATTTCAAAGTGGTAAACGTCAAAAACCTGTATCATTTTAGCTTTTCCGCCGACATTAAGCTAACACGCAGTGATATAGGCAGCGTTTATCATTCACTCAATCACTCACGATAGATTTATATTGTACGAACGTAGCCCAGCGTAATGAATAAATAAAGATAATAATTCATAACAGCGACAAAAAAAGTCTTTCCAAAGAAATATCTGTTCACCTGAACAAATTAGGGAATTGCATTGAACATCAAGCAGAGTCCTTTGTGCACCGACTATATCACAAGTGTGTATTTTGTGAATCACCATCAAATAGTGATGATACCAGGTGTTCGCAAAGAGGGGAGAGTATCCTGCCCCATCGGTGGTACCCGTCAGATACAATTTCAAAATCACGTCAAGTGTTCACCTGAACAAATTAGGGAATTGCATTGAACATGATATGATATGTGGCCTCCATATATCTACAATAAACATTTTAAAAGCATTACTGATGCCTAGAATGCATTTATGCTGATCACACAACTCTGAGCATGAGCCGCATAACGCTCATTCAAATCTTTGTGGAAAGAACATACTCGATTGTACCAGTCCTCAAATATTGACAAAAAGGCTGGAGCTGCCAGACCAGTGTTTGACATGAAGTAAAAGTTGACTATTGGAAACTTCTACATCCTTCTTGACATGGCATACAGTCCTGTGGTAAAATCTGACACTGATTCGTTATGCTGGAATCTAAAAATGAAACGGATAAGGCGCTTTCAGCGGTCCCTTGTTATTCTAGTGGATGGAAAAGTGGAAAGCAATTGGCTATTTGACGATAAATGGTACGATATGACGATATCAGACCATCGATATACTTCTTGGCCAAACTCCCCTTCTCTGATTTTACTAACCCGCGCAGATATTCCTATTCGTACGCAGATCAGCAAGAAGGGGCTCACAATTGGTGCCCATGGGGATGCCTACTTCTTCCCTAAATGTTCTAAGTATCCCCAATCTCATAATGCACTGGATCCAATGAAGACGCGATACTTCAAGGTTGAATAACGGTACATATATTGCAGCGAATAGAAGTATGCACGGTGTTATGTTTGAGCGGAATGAAGTACAAATGTAAGGGTGTCTTTGAGTCTGCATAATGCAGTATCATGGGCTTTGAATAATGATAGTTTCACAACTGTATAACGTATAATACGGTGTTCTGAATAGGAATGAACTAAGTAAGAATAAGATATATGGATGAACAACTTCTTTATTACAATCAGTGTTTGATAACGGTGTTAAAATCTACACCAAAAGGTCGCTCTTCATTGAAGTTGTTCATCCATATATTTTATCCTTACATTATCCTTACTCCTACTTGTGGTTCATCCTTACTCCTACTTGTGTTTTATCATTACTCCTACTTGTGGCCCCTCAAAGAATTTGGGATTGAATTAAGGATAGTTCCAGATGGTTTGTTGCAGCATAATGGTTTTATGGATAACGATGGTATAGAGTAGAACACATCTCGTACTAGGTTGTAGTCACGAGGATCGATGAAGTATGTGCATAGATGCAGGGAACCCTAGTATTGCAGGCATACATGTATGCAGTGTAAACAGCTTCATCATTTTATGAACTAATGCGTTGTAACCTATGCTTGAATGTTTTGAAAAGTGAATTTATCACTGAAGGTAGAACAAGTGTAGTTAGGTTTGGATTGCCAAAGAAAACATAAAATATGCATTACATAAATACATTTACATATCGTTATTATATTGAAATAATGCATAAGGAATATATTTTGTTAATACATGTATACTTACGTCTAGTGCACCGTGTTCCAAGACTGTTGGGGAAGTACCCGGAGAAACACTGGCACGATCCCTTGCGGCACTCAGAGAAACGAACATACTGGTCGCAGTCACAGCAGGGAGGGTTGGGTCGACACGACATCCCGATACGTTTGGCTGTATGAGAAGAAACTCTTGTTCAGTCAAGTTGTTGCATAGTCACGAACATAACCTCTTGAAACAATTGTATTTTTACTATATTTTTGTATATTAACTACCCACATGTTAGGTATCAAATAGACATGTATGTTTGAATAACAACCCGTCCGGGGAATCCAAGATTAAGACACTAATCTAGGAAGGTGGATAAGTACATCAAAACACATCAGACACTAACATATGTTTTAAGTGGGTAACATCAGGCCTGGTTGTTTAACCCTACAGACGCTGTTTATTGTTGGTTTATAAGTGAGTGAATGAGTTGTGTTTAACGCCGCTTTGAACAGTATTTCAGTTATTTTACGGCCTGCCAGTTCATGGATGGTCTTCACAAGCTAAGGGTCATAGCCAGGATTGAATTGGGATTCCAACCCAGAGGTTCCTGGTTCCCCGAAGAGACGCAGCTGGTGCCGCTAAAGTTCCAAATTGATCAGGGTAGTTATATGGGCATCATGTGATATTTACATCTCCCAGGGAGTTGATTTTTTTTCAACTGTCGGTCAAAACAGAAGAGGAAAAGCAAATTTACAAATCTTTCTTTCTTGACCTAGTATTATGGCCGCCAAAAGGATTATGTCATACGATGAAACAAACTTCGTTTGGGTTACTTGTATTCACTTGCACAAGAAAAGAAAATATAAAAACAATAAAATGTCCGCTGATGGCTATAGGTGAAACAAGGGAGACACGTTTATTCGATGATGATGTATTTGATACGGGTGTCATACTTGTTTGCAGCACTAAAGTTTGAAGTACTTCGGCAACTGTTTACAGCTTAGTAACGTTTTGATAACGTTTGTAAGTGTTTCGTCAAATTCAATTTTCAGTTGGCTGTTGAATTCAAGAACTGAACCGAGATGACAATGATGACACCAGGTGTTGGCGAACACTGAGTCTGGGTGTAGTTACTGATGAAACTTGTTTTTATCATTTTATCAAAGATTTGTGTAAGTGTAAAAATAAATACATTGCTTCTTTTCAATCGAGGGGAAAAGGAGGAGAGGGTGAAACATGTTGGGTAAAGTACACTGATAACACTGATAACTTCCTTCAGCACGTTATCGATTATCGTATTATACCAGACTATCCGAAATGTGAACGTTCTCCTTGACCTTAACCCACCTTCATCTGAACCGTCGTGACAGTCATCTTCAAGGTCAAGGACCCATGACTGTTTTATACAGCGTCTGTTTTTACACGTGAATTCTCCCGGTTTGCATGGGCGAGTGACTGGAAGAATTTTCAAGTAGGAAATTACGAGTGCTTAAACCATAAGTAAACCATACACAATCCATCATAGTATTGTGCGACGTACACTCAAGGGTGCAACCTGAGCCACAGAATAAAGCGAGAGCTGAAGGGGACATTTCTGCCTCAAATTCCAATGTGATTCGTGTTTGTTCTTGCTTGCTAAGAGTAGCGGAATCATTTTGACACAAAACTATTTCTTAAATACAGTGAAACCTCGTTAAGACGAACTCATCGGGACCATCAAAAATATTTCGAGTTATGCGCTTTTCGAAGTATGCGGAGTGGCAACATTTTATCATCCTGGTGATGCGGAAGAATATGAGATTGCCTCCCCCCAACCCGAATCCGGAATATTAAGACTATTTTTTCAGTCTCAATTGCTCACCCCTGAAACCCGAGTACTGATAAATAACACTATTCTCAATGGTATATGTCAGAATGCACTCTACAAATGCAGAATGCCAATAACAGACTAAACCCAATAGAATAAGTTCTTAGTTTATAAGAGCGTGCGATTCAGGGTAAATAACTGATTAAAATACAATATATAAAGGAAACGTTTACGCACACCATAATCTATTTATAAATGTTGAATCTACGTACCGCATACGATTTCACTTGTGTTCGCGTACCACACTGCTGAGTCCCTAATACCCTCCAAACAGACCAAAAAGGGGGTTGGCAGCCTAGATAAAGTGCCTAGATACATTGTCTATGACGAGGTATATGAGGTAGAAGGCGTTCGATTTAACGAGGTTTAAATGTAAGCATAAGTGCACTTTAACCAGGATTTGGCCGAAGGTTGGAGATTTAATAGTAATGTCACATTCGGTTTCTCTCAAGATTGATACCCTTTATTCTGTGCCAGTGAGTTGTGAAATGGTGACATACCTTCGTCACTTCCGTCAGCACAATCCATGACGTCATTAAGGACCTGTGTGATGTTGATGCACGTGTTGTCCGTGTTGCACGTGAATGTGCCGACAAGGCAAGGCTCACTAACTGTGAATCAAATCAAACACACACGGTGCAAGATGTGCATTGTGGACAATAAGGTGTGTGTTTATGTGTGGCATCATGAACTATCAGGAACGTCTACATGCAAAAAACAACTTCAAGGTAAAGTGGGTGAAACGTGGCACTGTGCATCTTCCCGGGGCTAGAGAGTTTCCAGCCTTGCCGAACTAGGCTGGAATTCTAGAGTTACATTTCGGCTGTACTAACGAGTCTATGGATAGTCCAATCAAAATCACTCAACGAACTAGACATTCGATTCGTAAACAACATGGATATCGACGTGCCGATTTCGATTGACTGCAGTATTTGCAAAACATGTGTACCGTCAACTGTATTTAATCAAGGTGCTCAAATGATCTGGTGCACTTTGCGAGGTAAGGCCCGTTTTATTACAATATAGATGTTGATTATCAAGCAGATCGTCTTGACTGGGCAGCCGCCATTTTGTTTGAAGCAAATGCAAGTGATGTGAGAAGTGAAATCTGATTGGTCAATAGAAGGGAGTCAGAAGGGACATAACTCGCCACTAGTGGCGCTACGATCGAGGCCTGGAAATTCAAGCGTAGTTCGGCAAGGGTGGAAACTGGACTTTTAAAGTCAGTTAACTCCCTTGCCTCGGGAAGATGGTGGTGTCAGTGGTATTGGTTTGGGGTGCTCAAGTGTTTTCAATAACGGAATCTGCCACACAGCTATATCACAAAAACAAGGTTACATATTGTGTCTCCACAGAGAAGAGACTTCGTTCGAAATATGTCTTTGTTCAACCAGCAGTAAATGGGTACCCGGTAGGGTGACATGGCAAATGCCCGTTAAGCTTCAGGATTATTATTGGACTTATTCATAACATCAACAGCACCGTCATACGAATATATCCACACACACACCAGTTGATATTGTTGTCTTGTGGTTGCTCATCGACGTGAGATTCACAAAAAGCAGCCATTTTGTACACACAATACCCTATCACTCGCGTCTCACGACAAGCGTGGAGTGATTGTGGTAGGGCGGACGGGGGTATGTGTGTGTGTGTGTGGGGGGGGGGGGGGGGGGGGGTGAGGGCCAATCGTTCTTGCCTTAGGACCTGATAGATAGTTTTACACCTTGTGGCACATCAGCTTCCAAAATCAGCAGCCATTTTGTCCACACGATACCAATTAAATGGCCTCGCATGACAGACACGGGATACACCAATCTTTGATGCCATGAAGCTAAGAATGATATATACAGTGACCACTCATCGAATAAGCACCCAAACCCAGCAGCCACTATATCCACGGGATACCCATTTAGTCTCTCACGACAAGGAGGGTTATTGACACAAATGTATTCCTGAACATGAAGAAAACTATTCCAAATATCGATAACGTATCCCGCATGCCTCTCAGTAGTCTCAGCATGTGCCCCAGATCGTAGCCTGTTCACAACATCTGTTACGACCGACCCTGCATGGCGCTGCTACCAGAGGGGAAGAGCCTACATGTACGAGAGCGGACACCATTGCACATAAAAACAAACATTGCCGGTTTACCTGTATACGCTCAATTAACTTTACATAAACCGTATGGTGTATTTGAGGAGGCTAGAATGTAAGCGTGAGCGCTTGATCAACATCTAGATTTCCTGCGATAAGTCCAAAAACGAATAAAAAAATCTCTACTAAAGGCAGCGTCCATTGTACGATTCAGTTTTTGAATAAGTGATGATACCAGGTATTCGCGGGAGGTTAACGCTAAATGCAGTCATTACTGAGTGCATAGGGTGATCAACATAGAGTTTTACTTTTGTAGTAGTGGCCAAGCTATTTTTTCTGTTGTATACATGTATTGACAGATGGTCAACTGGTCATGTGGCCTGTATATAGTAACACTATTACTAAAGGGGAAATGTTATTGCTGCTGACTGGTGATGGTAAAATACGCCAGTCTACTTGTTATACAGGGTAAGGCTCTGAGCCATATCATACTTTTACTGTGACGACTTTCACTGAAAAACGTAAATGTTACTATGTCTATTGGAAAATATAATGAACTTGAAAATACACTGGTTCAATGAAAAACCACACCTTGACTTTTAGAATATTCTTATTAAAAGTTGAGAGTTATAATGTTTGACTTGAATGATTCATAAAGACATGCTTATGATATAGCCAGAATCGTAGAATTGAAAATGCTTTTAGCAGAGACCATCATGGAAACAGTTTTATAGTTGACAGGCGGAATTGGGTTTAACGTCGCGTCCTAGATTATTTCACTTATATAGCGACGTGCACGCATGTGGCTGCTTATACTAGTCCCGATTTATAGTGCGTGCCCACTGAGATACCATGCCGTAGTTTAACATGTATACCCCACTCAGACACCGACTCGAGCCAGTCCCTGCTCGAGCGCCAGGCAGGGTAACAACATCTACAATATTGTAATGTCACGGCAAGGGAATCGAACTACCGACCTTCCGTTGAGGCGGTTTGTAGTTTGAAAGAATTGAAAACTTGCTCAGAACACTTAAAGGAGAAATAGGACGGCCTCCGTGGTCTAGTGGTAGAGCGACCGCCCGGAGAAAGGCAGGTCCGGGATACGATCCCCGGCCGCGTCTTACAAAAAGATGGTACTTGTTGTTACCCTGTCTGGCGCTCGGCATTAAGGGGGTAGGTCGGCTCGGAGTCAGTATACTGTGTCTGGCTGGGGTATTCCTGTTAAACTGCGGTATGGTATCTCAGTCAGCTAGCAGTATAAATCACCACACACACATGCATGCACGTCGCTATATAAGTGCAATAATCTTGGACGCGACGTTAAACCAAATTTCACTTCAACTCACCTTCAAGAGAAATATTGTCATGTATGAAGTCCAACATGGTGTTAAATATAACATCTATAATTATTTACTGGCTGTGATTGTGATGACGAATGTGCACTGTTCAACATGCAGCATGTTAACAATCTGTTCATATTACAAAAGCAATCAGTGGAAAAAGAACATTAACTGACCAGTATAACTTGTTCACGATTAAACTCTAACCTTTAAAAGCGCAATAAATATGAATTCAATTTTAAATAATTGGATTTATCCAAAAATATTAAATCAACAAAGGCGCTTTAGAATGTCTTGTTATTGTTATTATAACCTTCTGGTGATAACGTACCTTCGTCAGAGTTGTCTCCGCAGTCATTGACGGAGTTATTGAACTTGTCGCGAGGCAAACAGCGTCCATTGGCACATTGTAACTCCGTGTCTAAGTTACAGAATGGTCCCCCTGTTTGAAATGTGAATGAGACTTGTTGTTTGTATCTGTGATATAAAATATCGGTTCTTCTCCAGGCGAATTCCACTCTCAACAGTCCAAATATTTTCTAATATTTAGAATAGTCTCAATATGAAAAAATTCAATTAATTAATCTTATCAACATTTTGTGTTTAGCTATATTCGCATATAAAAGAAAAATATTTAATGCACTATTCAACACATTTTTGCAAATTAATGGAAAGGAAATGATACAAACGTTCATCATATTTTCCATCGCCGCAGTCATCAACGCCATTTTGAATACGCGCTTCTGGGATACATCTTCCGTTAGGACATCGTGATTCCCCAACAGGACAAAATGACAACACTGAAAGAGAAAGAGAAAGAATGTTTGTCAAACAGTCAGTTTAACTGCTCTTGTAACTCTACTATATACAGTATGATCCGTTGATCGTCATTTTCATCACAATTGTTTAAGAAATCCATCACCAGATGAATTCTGCATTCTAAAATATATAAAGCCATCTTTGACGGCAGATTAATCACGGTGAGCAGAGTGATTGAAGCGCCATATCAATACCCATGTAGTGTGTGCCTGGTGCCCAAGCAAGGAGAGATTTTGTTTTGTTTGTTGTTGAACGCCGCACTCAGCAATAGTCCAGCTATATGACGGCGGTCTGTAAATATTCGAGTCTGGATCAGACAATCCAGTGATTGACATCATGAGCATCGATACACGCAATTGGGATACGATGACATGCATTTTCTAAATTAGCGTGCTTGACCACCCGATCCCGTAAGACGCCTCTTACGACAAGCATGGTCGCCTTTTACGACAAGCATGGGTTATTGAAGACCTATTCTACCCCGAACCTACCAGGAGAGGTACAACCACATTCCTAGGCTAACGCTTAGTATCTGAAAATGTTTAATATCTGATAGAAACAAGTAACAACATTTGAATTTAAAAGAAGTCTCAATGAAATGGGAGATTCAGAACCTAGAATCTAGACTTTCTTCATTTAGAGCTACAGCAATTCAGTACGAGCTGGACGGAAGCGAACATAATATGTTCAGGGATTGTGAGACAGGCTACCACCTTCCTGCGTAAACAACATCCTAACCGTGAATTTGCAATCAGCCTGAATGTAAAATAGAAAAGAATTGTGACAATTTCAAATAATAACTAATATGCAACATTCAGTAAGAAATCATACAATATTATTGCGAATATATACGACTCATGACATATTAACTATAGTAATATGAAGCATTGGATGTTCTTTAATTTCTTTTGGGTAGTATATTTTGTAATTGTCACAGGTAGACCATGCGACTACATTGCCGCTATTTACTGTGAGGAGTGACGTCCTTGTGAGTGGCACGTTATCAAGCAATGATCATATGATCGAATTCCACATTGGCCTTGATTACGATCTTTTGTTTGCCAGCACCATACCCGTGTTCCTGAGTTTCACCAAAGTGGTAAACGTCTGTGACTTGATTAATGTCGGGCTTTCCTCCCGCATCATGCTGTGACGCTCTGGATTAACTGAAATACTGTTTAAAGCGACGAACAAGACAACCCACACCTCAATCAAAGTGCGATAGTGTCCCGGTCGTCTAAGGCGCCGCAATTCGCAATGAGAGTTGCGTCTCTTAGTCGTGCCAGGATCCAGTGATCGTGAGTTCAAGACCAATATGATAATGATCTCTGGATTCGTCAGCCCCATGCCAATGTGGTGAACGTCTAAGACCCGCGACGCTGTTAGGGTACCAACCCGCACCAAGCTGACACGGCGCGAGGCTGACATTGCTGGAATATTGCTAAAAGCAGCGTAAAACCAAATCACTCGGCCAGTCACTGACACGCCGCGATACAAATGCATTACTGTTCAAAGAGGCATTAACTGCAACAAACTCACTCAATCACTCACTAACACACTAACTCACTCACCAAACAGGAAAATTCAGCAAGCAGAAAACATTATATTATATTCACATGCACGATTAAAGCGATTCTCCACCCATTCTATTACACCTCGTTCTCATGACAAACGGCTGCGCACATTCTTCACAGACGCTTCAACGCCGGCTGCCATTCACATGCACGGCAGCAGCCGGGCGACTGTGTGTTAACCTACTTACATCGTGTGGTATGTGGTAATTATATTCCCTTTGAAAACACACCGCTACTATCGTCAACAATGGGCCTCAGAGTGAACGGCATGAGCGAGTCGGTTGGTTTCATCTACCACCCCCATTTATGATATATTTTTACGACTACACAATCCATGGAGTTTTTGATTGAAAAGGCTTCTTTATATAATAATAATGTGCATCCTTATAAAGCGCAAAGTCACACCTCAAAGCATGCTTAAAATGCTACATTTCTACCTCGGTGTGAACTCGATTTTCATTCTCAGCTCCGTGGAGATCATACAACACAAGTTGCCTGTGAATTGCTAGAACGGTCACATCCTACCGGGTACCCATTCACTATAACAGGTTCCAATATAGTTTACCTCCCCGAACCCTTAATTAATAAAACGGAATTGATATCATGGTGGTTGAATCCAAAGAATATCAATTTCGGTAAACTACGGTTACAACGAACTCATGTGGACCACTAACTTTTGTTCGTTATAACCGAAGTTCGTTATAAGTATATATATATAGCATCTATACAGCAAATTGCCGCTACCAAAAAATAAGTTCGTCAGATCGTTATAAGCGTGTTCGTTATAAACGTATTTTGCTTTATTGGAATGTTATTTAAAAAAATAACTCCCTATATGAACACACATGTGCAACTACTTAAGGCTTTTTTCACATGCAGAAGGGGCAATGGATTAGCTAATTGTGGTTAAATCCGCTCGTTACGCCCGGGTTCGATTCCCCTGATTTGTGTACTACTATTGGTCATCCCTGTGGTTATACATCTTCCTGAGGCAAGGGGGATAACAAACTACAAAAGTCCAATTTCCATCCTTGCTGAACTCGGCTGCAATTACTGAGTTATGTTTTGACTGGAATAACGAGTCTATGCATAGTCCAATCGAAATCGCGTAACGAAATCGACATCCGGTTCGTAAAACTGTCGTGCAGATTTTAGTTGATTGCAGGATTTGCAGAGCATGTGTTCCATCAAATGGGCGTCGACAGATATTTTCCAAATCTTTTCATGTTTTTAATTAAGGGGCTCACGTGATTTGATGCACTTTGCGAGGTAAGATCCGTTTTCTTACGATATAGATCTTGACTATCGATCAGACTGGACTCCGTTTTGTTTGAAGCAAACGCAAGTGATATGAGAGGTGGAATCTGATTGGTTAATAGGAAGGACATGGAAGGGACATAACTACTAGCCACTGGTGGAGCTTCGATCGAGCCCAAAAATTCCAGCCTAGTTCCGCAAGGGTGGAAACTGGACTTTTATAGTAAGTTAACTCACTTGCCTCGGGAAGATGGTGGTTATGATGATGAAATAGTGATACAAGCGGCGTAAAACACCCACTTACTTGTATGCAGTTATGGAGTGATTGCTGCTGTCAGATGAAAGCGCGGAGTGAGACGGAGTGTTCTACTGCCGGGTTGTCGCGCATGAATACAAGAAGAGTATGTCTTCCTCACGAACATGTGGTGTCCAGATATACTTAGTATACCACAGTTGATGTAAACCGTGTGTGTGTGTCACTGAGGTTGTCTCCATCCACCAGAGATGTCGGGATAGCTAAGTGGTTAAGCGTTAGCGTGTCATGTCGATGTCTAGTTCCATGCCTCTAATAGGTACTATATGTGAAGACTATGACTAGTGCCCCCTACGTGTTATTGCAAACATACTGCTAAAGAGGGCGTAACACAATACTCACTCACTTTATCCACCATTCTGTCAACTGGTGGATTTCAGTTTTAAGTGAGTGAGTACGCCGATTTAGCAATATTCCAGCAATATCACGGCGGGGGACACTTTGTACCCATGTCGGGAATCGAACCCGGGTCTTCGGCGTGACGAGCGAACGCTTTAACCACTAGGCTACCCCACCGCCCCTTTCAGTTTGAACTTAAAAACAATGTTTACATTGACAAGAATATGTATGCTAGTCTATGTTCACTTTGTCCAGCGCCATGGTTGTGGAACACAACGTACTAGTATATATAGTTTATGAAACCAATACCATTCTAGGTTAGGAAAAAGCATCTCAAGTCAGCTCTGTTTCACTATGAAAAAGGCACCCGGTAAAAAGTGAACGTTTTCAAGTAGAGAAATGTTTTGTGTAATAAAGGCGAGAGAGTTTTTTAGGAACTTGGTGTTTCCGAAGTCGTCATCAGCATCCTGGTTGTTGGGTTAATTAGCAGAACAGTGTGTCAGTATGTTGTTAAGAAATACATGTCGGTACTATCTCATCCTATCGTTCCTCACACAAGACAAGATAAAAACACTAATAGGACAGATGGCGGAATATAGTTTTTGTGGGTTTCTTTTTTCTTTGCGATAATATCTATATCAATTACATGCTCCATAAACCATTTTCTTTTGAAGCGTGTGTAATGCTGTTTGTCTAGACGACTGTTGGTATGGTCCTTATGCTTGTAGGAATGTTACTGACACAAATATATGAAGAATTAAAGTCAGCAATTCTTAATGGGAATTTATGTATATCTTATTAAATAATGTTCCAGTGTTAAAGTCACAATGATTCTTAACATGGTTATAATTACACATACATACATACATACATACATACATACATACATACATACATACATACATACATACATACATACATACAAACATACAAATGATGTTTAAGGGTTTAAATCAGGACAACAATGCCCTATTTAATTGTAATATTTGTAAATATTGTACTTCATGATCATTAAATGGACGCAGCCACAGAAAGCCGAACCATCCCACTTGCACTGGAAGTTTAAACTTACAAACCTGTGGATGTAGCAGGGGGTACATTGAGTACACAGAGCCAGGAGGCAAGGATATACTATATATCAGAGATTCCAGCAATGAATCCCTCGCCTCGCTACAGGAGTGCTGTAAGGGCGCTGAGGTGTGCTGTTTAATTGTTATCCCATACCGAGCGGCGTTGTGTTTTCTACGGAAACAGATGCTACTAATATCACAAACTGAGAAACTGATTGAACCGATATGACCTTTGCAGCATAGAGACTCGTCTTCATTAATATTGAAGGTGTGGGAGAAAAATAAAGAAAATCATTGAGCGATACACAAGGTAAGAAGACTTGAAGAATCACGTGACTTGAATAAGTCTCGATAGAATTATGACAGTAAACCAGTGCTACACCTACATCTTGAAATTTATGACTAGAAAACCCCCCTATCGCCCAAAA